TGGGGTGGGGTGGTGGTGGGGCTGTCCTCCTGCTACCCCATCACCTGGGGACCGACAGAACCAAACAGAATGCGGACAAACTGCCGTGCCCAGGCACAGCTGTGCTCTTTCTGTCCTCATAATGCACCCACGAGTCTGGAGAGTGCCCTTTAAGCTCTGTGTTCGCGCACAGCACATCGAGAAAGGCGTGCTGAGGTTCAGCCTTCGAGTCTTGTTGGAACTTGAGGATGGGTTTGTTGCTGAGTGAAGTCAGTTGCCAGTTTCAGGGCTCGACTCCTAGCATGACGCGGCAGTGTTTCTGACGTGCAGCCCACGATTTGGGGTGCACAGAGCCACCCCAGCTCAGGGTCAGGCCAACAGAGAGGACTTCGCAATCTGGAAGCATGAGAAAAACAGCACGCCTTCCGCCTAGGCAGGACGAAGGCACTTCCTCCCTAGGAGTCCCAGAACTTGCGCTCTTCTAGAAGCCACTGTCCTCGCTTCTACAGGGCGAAATGCAAAATGAAACCCACCCTTTCACACTGCGACTTCAACAGGAATCCGAACTTGGCCGCAGAGCCATGTCAGGGACATTCGCAAAGACATGGCACTGCAGCATTGAAGGCTATCAGTTACAAGTATAATTTCAGTGAAAAAGAGGGAGTGTATTGCAAACACACAGGGCTAGCTTCCAGAACCAGAGGGCAACATGCATGGGCCCCAGGAGGGTGCTGGAGGCATTCAGCCTGGGTTCCACGTCCCGTTCTTGAAACCTCTTGCCTGTGCCCAGCCGTTGCGCATTGGGGTCTTGTAGGGAGCTCTAGAAAACACCGAGGCCTATGGCTCACTTGGATCACCTCTCACTGGCTGGGAGTCCAGCCTGAGCATTGGAATTTTTTAAAGCCCCCCAAGTGATTCTAGTATCAGCAGCTTTCGGGGTCCATTGTCCCAGACTGAGCTACCCAGGAGCTCCCGAGCTCAGACTGCTGCCGGCATGCCCCTCCCATGCTCACCATGCTCATGCTCCATGGGCAGGAAGTGGTCAACGCCAGGCAGGCACCGATGACGTCACCCTTGGTACCAGATTGCAGTCCTCAGCTGGGGCCCTAGTGGAGCCCTAAAGTCCCGCTAGGTTTTCTCGGGCTGCTCATTTCTCCAGGTGCAAGAACATGTCAGCCCCTCTCTACCTCTGGGCACTGGATCCAGCTGGCAGAGTCCCCAGACCTCCTTGGCCCCGCCTCTTTCTGCCCACCTCCACCCTGGGCCTTGGCCTCGTGCCTCCCTTCCCCACCTGAGCCATTCTGGTAAATAGTCTGGTGGTTCCCAGCCTCATCTCCCCACCCCTGGGGTCCCCCTCAGTGATGACTGGCAGGGGAGGCTGGAGCTCCCCACACTGGCTGGACTGGCACCCACAGGTGCTGGCTCCCAGTGGATGTGTACGGGGCTAAGTGGACCGTAGGAGACAGGTGACATCGTGGCGCCCACAGGGGGTTTCCGGTCACGGCGGTTCTGTCAGTTTCTCCAGCGTCATCCTGCAGGATGTGCCAGCCAGCTGTGACGGTCATGCAGCTCTGCCCGCTGGCACCCCTCAGACATACTCTCCAGATCCCCTGCCTTACGTCGTTCTTTCTTGTTGGTGTTTTTTATTTAATTTTTTTTAGAGAGATTTTTGCTATAGGGTGTGTGTGCTTGCCAGACAGACAGAGAGACAGAAAGCAAGAAGTCACTCCCCTGGGCAGGTGACCATGCTTCAATCCCTTCTCCTCCATGCTCCTCTTAGGGTCTTGGGTATGCACACATACATACCCCGCGTGAGTTTTAAGCCACCAGGTGCGGGACTCAAACTGCGGCCAGCAATGTGGGAGTCCAGTGACATAACTGTTACACCATCTGCGCGTCCCTTTTTGTTATTTTTTTTGTTCTTGTTTTTAAGTATCTATTTCCTCCAGGAGTAAGACAGCCAGAGACAGCGCCCCCAGCAGGACCTTGATGCCACAGCACACCCCTGCCTGTGCCAGCCATGGATCGTGGGCGGGCGTGTACCTGCTGTGCTCTGAGAGGTCTCCGGATGTCAGCCTGGAGCCTTCCCCTATGGGCAGCTCACAGAGTACCGTGTTCCCGGCTGCGCCCCATTCAGCCCCTCTTCTCACTTTCCTGGGATCGTGAGAACGTTTCCATAAAGTCACCATGGAAACGTTCACCTTAGGTTCTATCTTCAAGGGAACCAAGCTAGGACATTCTTCCAACATTGGGACGATTTTGACCAAAAACTCAGAGAAAAGTAGAACGACCAACTGTCCTGGTTTGCCTGGGGCTGAGGTCCCTGGGTCACAGATTTCCCGGGTTCAGACCAGAACGCTCAGTTCCGGGACCAGCTGGTCATACCCGTGGGAGGCAGGAGCACGCTGAGCCTCCCCACTCCAAGTCAGCCCCTGCCTCGCCCCCGCAGCCTTCTCCCTTTGCTGCGGTGGGAAGGTGTCCCCACTTCTCCCGACTCCTCAGAATAGGAGGTGCTGGTCAGTCAGCCAGCCCTGCTGAGTCATTCGTTCCATCGCACGTGTTGGGTGCCTCCTGTGCCAGGCTGGGTGCCAGGTCCTTGGAAAGAGGAGGACTGAACACTGGCACGGGGAAGTGAGAGGGGACAGTGGAGCAGCACTGCTCAGACGTCGAGGACACAGTGAAGTACGTGTTTGCTAAATCAGGCCTGACACCTGACAACTCCCACGCTACCGAAGGCAGAGAAGGGAGGGTACTGGCGGGCTGGGAACCAGTTCCTGGTGAGTGGGGGTACCCGGGCCTGTACGCAGGCCATGCAGGCCGAGAGGTGTGAGCCCCAGGGCTGGGCGTGCTTCTATTCTCTCGCCTCCGTACTGCAGTGCCAGAAACCAACCTGCGTGAGGGGAAAGAGGGCATTTGTTTTCGTAGTTGTGAAGGGTACAAAAGGAGGTGATACATGTGAACCCCTTAGCAGAGTAGTAAACTCTGAAGTCGTTCCACAAGTTCGAGATAAAGAGGGGGAGCAAACGTTAAGCTTGTTCACAGACTTCAAGGCTATGGTAGCTGGTCTTCCAGCCAGCGCTCCTCCCAGGATTCGTGCCCTTTTCTCGTCCCTTCCACTTCCAGCCAAGCTGTTCTCGACTTTCTTCTTACCCACAGAACACGAGGCTGAATGACATGAGGCTAGGTCAGAGGAAGCTCCGTGTGTCCTGCCCTGGTGTCTTGGAGCATTTGTGCTAGGGGACATCAGCCACCGGGCTGGAAGTCTGACCGCCCCTAGACCGCCGTGCTGGAAGGAAGCCCAGAGTAGCCATTTGGAAAAGCTGCCTGGGAAGAGACTGCCTGGACAGTCCCTCAGATGCCCAGCCATCCCAGCCCAAGCACCAGGCATGGGAGTGGAGACGGTATCTCGGATATCCAGCCCAGTCGAGCCTTCCGGTGACTGCAGCCTCGGATGTCACCTGACTGCGTTCTCCAGAAGCCCCGAGCAAGGACTGCCCCGCTGAGTTCAAGTCCACACCCTGGATCATGAAAAGCAAGAGCTTGCCTGAAACCATCATGACAGGTGACATACCTGCTTCCGTGGTCCCCCTGAGATCCGCGTCCTTCCGTGAGCCCCACCTCCTGAGTGTGGAGTGGACGGTGACTTCCTTCCACAGACAGAACACGGCAAACTGATGGGATGTCACTTGTTATAAAAGACTGAAACTTCTGTCTTTATCTTTTATTTCTTCTGAAAGAGAGATAAAGGGAGAGACTTCCCCAGCCTCGGCCAGCCCTGCCGCAGTGACCAGGCATGCTGCACGGTCACAGAAGAACGCAGGCTTGCTAGTAATCCCTGAGAACAATCACTAACCCTCCTTAAGCCTCAGCGTCCTGTGTAGAAAACGAGGACACGAGGATTGCACAACCCATCAAGGTTTAGAGACTGCACTGGCTCAGCCGCGGCCGCAAGCTTTGCAGGTCTCAGCACACACTGGTTATTGCCATGAAACAGCATGCCCCTAGGGGGAGCTAGGAGACGGCATGGAAACGGACTGATGGGCCCCCTGAGCTGAGGCCGCCCAGGTACGAGTCCATTCTTGTGTCTGAAATGAAGCTGCTTCCGAGCTTAAGGAAGAAGCCTGCCCAGCAGAAGCAGACTTAGAAGAGTGGAAGTGAACTTGGAGGAAACTCACGACATGTCATAAGAAATGGCTGACAGACCAGCTTTCTCTGGGTGGTGGTGGTGGGTTCCTCCTCCCCCTTCACGTACAAGATCCCAGCACCACTCAGTTCTTTTATTTAAGTTTGCCAAAAGGCATGTGTACTCACAAGAGGAGAGAGAGAGATAGAGAGAGAGATAAAGCACCTCTCATGGGCATGGTCAGGCTGTAATTCCTTCTCCTCTATCTCTCCCTCCTTTCAGGATTTTGGGGACGCACACGTTTCCAGTGTGTTTCTCTGGCCACTGAGCCTGGGATTCGAACTGTGCAGTCAGCTATGTGGGAGCCAGCTGCCTTAACCACTGGCCCTCTCGGTTTTTCCTATCACAGCCATTACTAAGTAGTTGCTGGGGTCGTGATCTGTCCTTTACTGAATGCTAATGCTTAGTTCCAGGAGGACAGGGACCTTGCCTGTCTACTCACGGGTTTCCAGAATGGAGAGGAGTGCCTAGAACCCACGGAGACCCAGTTAACGTTGGAGAACAAACACAGGGTGGGGGGGTTGGAGAAGGGGAGGGAATGAGCAGATGGCATAATGGTTACGTTGCTGGACTCCCACATAGTTGACCTTGGTTTGAGTCCTGGACTTGGCAACTTAAAACTCAGGCTGGGCACGTGAGTGTGCGTGTCCAGGATCCTGAGAGAATGGAGAAGGGATTGAGGCGTGGCTATCCCCTGGGGGGGGGGTGATTTCTCACTTTCTGTCTGTGTCTCCCAAGCAACCCAGACAGTGCAGTCTCTAGCTCAGGGTACCCACCAGCCCACTTCCCTGGGCCTGCCTGTCCCTGCAGACACTGCAATTCATGCTCCCTGTTCTTATTGCTATAAAGAGCCCTTTCCCCTTCATGTCTGTGGAAACTTAAGAAATAATCTTTTATTATTAAGAGTTACGGGTTAGCATTCGGAGTGCAACAGGAATTTCTCGTCTGTGTTAGTTGGTGTCCTGGCTGAGGCTGTTGTTTTGCTTGGCACCCTCGTTTTCTCCAACTTTCTTTTCTTTTTTTGAGAGCTTTTGGCTATAGGGCAAGTGTGCTCACCAGAAAGAGAGAGACAGACAGAAAGCGAGAAATCACAACCCAGGGGGAATGACCACACCACAATCCTTTCTCCTCCATTCTCCTCTCGGGATCTTGGGCACACGCACACACACGCACCTGGCGTGAGTTTAAGCCACCGGGTCTGGGACTCGAACCACCGTCGACTACGTGGGAGTCCAGAGACATAGCCATTATGCTAACTGCTGGTCCCTCTCTCCAACTTTCTAATTTCCACTTCACCCTGGAGATTCAGCCCACCCACCAAGCATTTTCTTCCTGGCCCAGGCCCCGCGGATGAATCAGGTGCCCTCCCTCAGTGTCACTGCCACAGTCCATGCTGTCACACTAGTTCGGCGTCTTACTTTGCCTGTAAGTTTGCACATGACAGAAGCTGTATCTTATCTAAGTTGGCAACTTCCTGCCAATAGGAAGCTTGGGGAACAGCTTCATGAATCAATGAGGCTCCATTAGGAAGAAAGCTTGGAAGCCTTTTATCTTCCTCCTCAGATTGACATTAAACTCACAGCACGACAGAAGCGGATCATTTGACCAATGTCCAAAGAGAATCTCAGAAACACCCAAACCTGGGTTGTCATGTGTGCTTGACTGCAGAAGTTTACAGCTGTGGGCCGAGATCCTGAACCGACAAAGTGCTTTCAGTTAGTTGACGTCTGCCCCGTGTGGAAGCCCTGACACCTGGCCTGGACTTGCATCACCGGTTACATGTCCAGCTCGGTGGGATGCAGGGTCCAGCCGCCAAACGCGCATTGTGGATGGCTGTGGTCTAGAAGAGGCTTGCAGAAGCTCCCAGAAAATGCCAGGAACCCCTCTCCTGTCATCACTGGAGGGTGCTGGAGAGCGCAGAGGCTGCCCGCCTTTGAACGTTTTGGGAGTCACAAAGCCTTCTGCAAATATGCAAACTTACAGATCCTCTGCCCAGAAAAATGCGGACCCTCACTGCTCCCCCCCCGCCCCCCCAGCCGCAGCGCCTCGGCGGGACAGGGTGGGTCAGCGAGTGCGGAAGCTGCCTCGCTCCGCTACAGACACGGACAGGCAAGTCCTTCCTCGCGTTCCACCCTGGCGGAGAGCTGGCGGGCACCGGGGGTAGACGCTCACCTCCGGGCGCAGCCGTCCCACGCTGGGCGGGGCAGTGGGGTCGGGACCCGGGGGGCC